TTAGGTGAGACCCTAAATACACTGATGGTTCAGCCTTGTGCAAAGCTTGGGGTAGTGCCTGGTGGCCCTGTTTCTTCTCAGTCTCTTCCTCTCATAATCTTTTAAGGTTGAGTTCTCTCACTCTGAAGTTTTCCTTGTGTGATTTAAGACTTACTAATGGGGGAAAAAATGGTCAACTCCATATCAGAGCAGAATAGTGAAGTAGAACTTTGCAAAAGTCAAATACACATGATCAACATAGGCAACTAATAAAGGAAAAAGACACACAAAATGACATTAATGTTAAATTGAATTGTAGGTGTGCATGCAATGCAGTGACATAAATGTATATGAACAATTGCTGCAGTCATTTGATCAATGCAGAATGCCAGCATAGATTGTTTGAGTGAGGAAACAGATGTTCTGTGAACAAGAGTTGCTTTGAGGAATACCCATTTTTAATTTGATTCAATAAGTAATGTATTTTGACTCTGTCTATTACTCATATGAATGAAAACAGAGTGTTCTGTTGTTGGCTATGTCGCCTCTTGCTAATTTTTTACTACTAAACTATTGCACCAGTTTGACTGTATTGCTGGTGAATATTGCTGGTGTTAAATATACTGCAGAGATGTGCACAAATCACAATATATTTTAAAGAAGGCAATATACTACAATACAAAGCTTATATCTAAATAATGACCACAATCCAAAAGAAAAAAATATGCAAAAACTCATAACATAGTTTAGCTGTTTTTTAAAAAAAATCGAAATATTTTATAAAAGTTCAGTTCATAGATATTTTTTCTCCAGTTTCATCCCTATGCTTGTCATTTTACAAGCACATTCATGAGAGGCTTTTGGCATTCTGCAATTTTCATTTGATGCCTTGGCAATATTCCACCAAATAGACTACTACACTAACATAAGACATTCTATTCTTTTAGTAAAGACCAGGGCTATTTACTCTCCACTGGCAATGAAGGCATATCAATGTTAGAATTATAAACATGTTTTCTGTAATATCATAAATGAATAATAGAATAAAATTAACACATTTGGCCAATACATATGTCAAGAATCTTAAACACTGCTATCACTTACTTATAAATTTATGTATCACATTGTTATGCCATAGACTAAAAAAAATAGATCAGCAGTTTATTAAAGTTCAGATGTTATATAAGAGATTCATTTCTTTTTTTTTTTTTTTTTTTTTTGGTTAATGCTTCTTTTACTTGGACACAATGAAGGTACTTACGACTGCCAAGCAAAATAATTTTACATTAGCAGTTGATGTCTCTAATATCTGTCCAAACAACTGGATCCAAACGCCTTAAAAGGATGTGGCAGTGATCACAACACCATCTGGTTCTAACTGTAGCACTGACAGTGAACAGCTATCAGACCCATTGATGGAAGGGATGTTGTCAAACATGGTGCTGATAGTTGTCAACTTGGGAGGTTATTTCGATTGACTAAAAGGTCAATACATCAAGTGTATAGAGAAATAGCTTCAATTAGAACACCCCCCCCCAAATTCCTCTTGACCTTAAAAGAGACAAGAACTTAGTCACAGACAACAGTTCAACTTTTTGTTAAGCCTAGTCAGAGGCTGCAGGAGACCTTTCATTATTTGGCATCACAACTAACAATTGATTATTATGACCTAGTGAATTATTTACTTTATGCAAATAACACAACACTCATTGAGTGCACTAGGTTTTATCTGTACAGAGGACTTGACATTATTTGTTTTACCCAAAATTCTCAGTGGAAGAACACTGTATCTAACATTGTAGATTTAGAGTTGAGTCAGAGTGATGCCGAGCATGCTGATCATACTCACCTCCTGAAACTTGTTTAAGCACTAAGTAGACATTAAAGTGTAGATGTCTGATTACATCCTATTTCTATTAAATATATTGATTCAGAAAAATGCTTGAATTAAATTAAGACATAAATATACAGCAATAAATCCTAGATCCTTTAACAACAGATATCAACAAATAACTATATAACAATCCCATATTTCAATATAATTCATATCAAAGCATGAGTTTGTCATTTCCATTTGCAATTGACGCCAGTGTTTTATGTAGCTCATTTGTGATAAAAGATAAACAGTATGTTCATTTTATTATATCTAGCTTTGAAAAAATATGTCCCTACAATTACATGACACATTTGTTAGGAATATATTTCCTAAACAATTATATTTTAATATCTTAAAAAATAGGGTACAGAAAGAGAGAGAGAGGGAGAGAGGGAGAGAGAGGGGGGACATCAGTAACAGAGACTAGGAGAAAGAGAAAAGAAAACATAACTGAGATGAAAAAGAATGTGGTGATATTTTATTTGTATGTTATTAAATAAAGTTTGCCTGGAGATCAGGGGACATAGCCAACCATTTTTAAGTAAACATAGAAGTCATGCAGTGGTAGCACACACCCTTAATCCAATCACATGGCAGGCAGGGTCTCTGTATGTTCAAGTAAGCCAAGCATACTTTAATCCCAGTACCAAACATAGAGACCTGGAAGTCTGTACAGACAGTGACAAGGAAGTGAGGTAGCTTGGCTAAGAGCCAAGGAGAGGGCAGAACAACAAGGCAAGAAAAGCCTGGGTAGAAAGGAAGAAGCTCTCTTGGGAAGTTACAGTGGTGTGGTGAGTTAAGGCTAGCTGGTGTCTCTCACTATTTCCCTGATCTCTAAGGCTTTCATCCCTATATTTGGCTCTGTGTTTCTTATTTAATAAGACCATTTAGAAATTCATCTACAAATGAACAAATTCTTTTCTTCAAGTGTTAATAAAGACAAATAGTGAATTGACTTTACTAATTATGGTGTACAATGGAATACATTGCTTTAAAATGTTGAGTATTACAGCAGTTTTTTTAATGCCTTAGGAAACATACAGACCTGTATTGTTCAGCAACTTTGTATGTAATATTTTATTTATAATAAAGTTTAATTGAATTGCTTGATTTAATTTAGTTGAAATAACAACAACCTGAGGATGCCCAGGTAAGGGTATTGACCTAAAAGAAGATTTTTATTCTTTATTTTTTTAAAAGGGCTAGAGAGGTGGCTTGACAGTTATCTAAATCTCACAGCAAAAAATTAAAGGGAAATTGTTAATTAAGATAAAATAAAGTGATTGGTTAATTCATCAAAGTTATCTATTGAAATTAAGGCATTGTGAAATTGTGATAGAGTTTTGTTGTGCTTCAGAAGTGAATTTTTCTGGTATCTGTTAAACCTCAGAGAAGGAATGATTATGAAGTTCTTTCTAGTCTATTTAGTGGTCAAAGGATTGTTTTATCTTTCTTATAAACTTAATGTATGTGTTTAAGAAAACTATTAATAGAGAGGCCGAAGTGCACTGGAAAGATCAATACTGAACTAAGGTAGGTATTATTTTAGCATTTCTTTCAGGTGGTGATTTATAATCTGCCAAGAACACTAATGCAAACCTTAATTCTTGGTCAAGTCTCTATTGTCACTAATTACTTACATTTTAATTATAGGAAGTTGCTATGGAATTAGAAATCTTAATAAATTTCATAAAATAACTTTAAGCCAAATTATATGACTACAGAATTCATTTTGGACAGTCTACAATTGTCAGAGATTGTAAAACAGTATTAAGTTTCTGCATTGGTACAGCACTTCATATGATAAAATGAAGACTTACTAAAATATAATAGAGGTTTATCCCAGGTTAATGAATTCAAATTCTGTATCTAATTTAGATAGCTTTATAAATGATAAGAGAAATGCTAAAATAAGAAAGTCAGTTTAACATCTAAGGAAATCTAAATACATGCAACATAAATGTTTAAATTACAGTAATGGAATCTATTATACTAAAACTGTAGTTAAAAAGTAGCTAGTGAATTTGAAAACCAGAAATTACAAGTGTTGATTAGTGTATAGAGAAACTGGGACACTAATGCACTGTTAATGGGAATTTAAGTAAATTTGCTCATTATATAAGACAGCAATATAATTTCTCAAAAAATCAAAAATAGGACCTTGATGCAATCTGATAGTCCTACTTCCAGGTATATACCCAGAAGACAAATCAATATGATCATGAGATTTCTGAAACTTCATTCTTACTACAGCATTGATTACTACAATAGCCAAGACGTGCAACTAAACTGAGCATCACAGAAAACTTACTGGATAAAATATAAATAAAATATGCATCCGACAACATACAATGAAATATCACCTAGTCTATAATGAATACTTTATCATTTGGGCAACATAGATGAACCTGTCAGGCACATGTTCAAGTCTTAGGAGCAAAGAATGAAATAGTGGTTCTCTAGTACTTGGGATACGGAAAAGTGGAGTCACAGTGACCAACGGCTGCAAAGTTTCAGTGAAGCAAGACGAATAAGCTCTAGACAGCCATGTACAGCACAGTGTCTCCAGGTAATCAAACTATATTTATATAAAACAGGTAATAGGTAGACTAAATATTATCACCACACACAATATTAACCAATGGATATGTTTAGATTCACTGTAATAATTTCATAATATACACATAAGTCATATTTGAAGCTGGAATATAGCTCAATGATAGAATTCTTAAGTAGCATGTATCAAAATTTTATTTCCACAAACAACGCTTCAGAAAATAAGCCAATGGGTAAACAAATATTCAAATCACTACATTACATAATTTAAATACATGCAATATTTGTTTTGTCAATTACACCCAGAAGTGTGTCCCAGATTAAAAGTGAATCTTCCCACCTCAGAGATGCAAATTAGAAGTGAGACTTCCCACATCCAATGATTTAATAATAAAATATTCCCTCATAGGTATGCCCAGTCATTTAAGTTTTAGTTAATTCAAGATGTAGTCAAATTGACAACCAAGAATAACCATCATATCCGCCTAGCCCCACACACCAGCCCAATATTTCATGTATCATATAGCTAATACAGTGTACAATGAACATAAAACCAAATGAGATTTTAAAAAATTTAGCAATGGGCGGCGACGATGGCAGCGGCGGCCCAGCAGGCGAGAAGCGTGGGTCCACAGCGGCTCCGGGTGCGGCTGCGGGCTGCGGAGCGAGCGGTCGGCCAGGCTCCCCGCGTCCCCCGCCCGCCGTGACTGTCTGGAAGATGGCGCCTGGCTGATGGAAATCCTAATGACAGTCTCCAAATTCGCCTCCATCTGTACCATGGGCGCCAATGCCTCGGCATTAGAGAAAGAGATTGGTCCAGAACAATTTCCGGTCAACGAGCACTATTTTGGATTAGTCAATTTTGGGAATACCTGCTACTGCAACTCAGTTCTTCAAGCACTTTATTTCTGTCGTCCATTTCGGGAAAAAGTTCTCGCGTACAAGAGCCAGCCCAGAAAAAAGGAGAGCCTTCTCACGTGCCTGGCCGACCTCTTCCATAGCATAGCCACCCAGAAGAAGAAGGTGGACGTCATCCCGCCCAAGAAGTTCATCACACGACTGCGGAAAGAAAACGAGCTGTTTGATAACTACATGCAACAAGATGCCCATGAGTTCTTAAATTATCTACTCAACACAATTGCCGATATTCTACAAGAAGAAAGCAAACAGGAAAAGCAGAATGGCCGCGTACGGAACAGTGACGTGGACGCTGAGGAGAACAACAGCACACCAGACCCGACGTGGGTCCACGAGATTTTCCAGGGAACATTAACTAATGAAACCAGGTGTCTTGCTTGTGAAACTATAAGCAGCAAAGATGAAGATTTTTTAGACCTTTCTGTTGATGTGGAACAAAACACATCAATTACTCACTGCTTAAGAGGTTTTAGTAACACAGAAACTCTGTGCAGTGAGTATAAATACTACTGTGAAGAGGGCCGAAGCAAACAGGAAGCACACAAACGGATGAAAGTTAAGAAACTACCCATGATTCTGGCTCTCCACCTGAAAAGATTTAAGTATATGGACCAGCTTCACCGATACACAAAGCTTTCTTACCGGGTCGTTTTTCCCTTAGAACTTCGTCTGTTTAACACTTCAGGAGATGCAACCAACCCCGACAGGATGTACGACCTTGTGGCTGTCGTGGTTCACTGCAGAAGTGGTCCCAATCGAGGCCATTATATTGCAATAGTTAAGAGTCACGATTTTTGGTTGTTGTTTGATGGCGACATTGTAGAAAAAATAAATGCACAAGCTTTTGAAGAGTTCTATGGGTTGACGTCTGGTATCTCCAAAAACTCGGAGTCTGGGTACATCCTTTTCTATCAGTCTCGGGACTGAAGGAGCCAAGGCGGAGCAAGCGTCTGCATGCTTCTCTGGTTGTTTCAGGAAGGATCAAGCTGATGGTCAAGAAGAGAGAGAGATTCAGGACGCTCAGGGCAGTAGCACACTTTGCATACAATAAAGCAAAGACTGTGGATTAACATGCCCTTCCGATCACAGTAGTTGAATTTTTTTGCTCAGGAATCATGCTGTCTGTGCAGTTCCACACAAGGAAGTGAAATCAGAGATACCAGCTCCTCTGGTAAAGCAGCTGCCAGCTACCGACACACATGTTCTCTGTTAACCACACCAATGATGGTTTGAGTTCCTCGGGAGGGCGGTGGAAGAACTAGAACATGTCAGGTTGAAGGAGCACGCCGCACTGTGCGCGCACGGGATGCTCACATTGGATGGGAGCGGTAGAGTGGTCTCTTCAGACAAACCGGAAAGCACCTTTGGGCCCAACACTCGCAGTTGCCTTCCTGACGCACAGAACTAGCAGACACGGAGCCCGGTGTCAGGAAGTCAAAGATACTCTGCTTCTCTGGAGAAGCATGTGATAATGTACAGTGTGTGTACACGGAGGGAACAGTTGGTCAGAAGTGGCTTCTTGGTTCCCCAAGGGGAAAGACTGGCTGTGTAATGATCATTTTCCTTATTTATTTTATTAAACTGGTGGAGTCCGAGCATTACATGAAGTGCCGGTGATTCTGTCAGCAAATCTTAGCATATTTTATTAGTTTGTCGGCAGAAGTAGTCTGTTGTTTGTTTCTGTTTTTAAGGTGAACTGAAAATTCTAGCTGAAATCACTAAGATAATCATGAGATGATTGCAGTGAGCGGGCAGACGCAGTCAGGAGGAGCTGTCCCTGGCCGAATGCTTGCTCTTTGTCATAGTTTGTCACTTGCTTTTTAAAGCTTTAATTTCAGTAAAGTAGAAATTCCCTGTTGGTAGAATGATAAAGGAAACCCGTGTGATGCTGGCATGTTGTCGGCCAGAACCCCAAACTCCTCACAGCGGTGTTGTTTTGAGTCTCTAGCCTTGGGATGGACTGCTAGATTCTTCAGAATCCCAGCAGCAGGGAGCAGCTAGAGCCTTTTGCAAGATGACACTTTGGGGAGGTAAACCAGTAATCCAGAAAAGAAACCCCCCCCCTCCTGACCTGCACATCTGTTAGAACTGTGTTCAGAAGCTTGTGACAGGAGTCTCCTGTATGTCTGAGCATCAAGTAGCTTGGCAGTGGCTGAATGTAACTTGTAGAAAGCAATTGAAGATTATAGTCCAAGTCACAGCAGCCAGGCTCTGGACAGTCCATCTCACTGCGTTCTTCATGCGGTGGTAGGGGCCTGCTGATAAGCCCCTAATTTTCTAAGGTTATTTTACTAAAACTGTTGACTGAGAAGCAAACAGCAAAAAGAAATGTTTTGTGCTGCTATTATTAACATTTATTTTCTGTACTTGTTAGCTCAGGAAATGACTTCATCTGTTCGTCTCATAAGCAGGTTTGTAACAGGGTCACTTAGCTAATCGGGCTTCGTAGACAGATGTGCTGGGAGAAGATGACCTTTTGACAGACTCATTTTATGGTGTCTGAAGCCTTACCCTGGATGGGGTTTGTGATCTGCAGGCTTTGCCCAGAGAACACAAGTAGGAGCGTGGGGGGTCAGGGCCATTGAGAGCACGTGATATTGAGGGCTTAAACCAAATTGTGTTGGAATCCAGAACTGCGTTTTTTGCAGTTTTGTGTTCAAAGAAAAGGCATAAAGTATGGCTGAATTCTCGAGGCTGCCCCGTGCAGCCCTGATGTACAGTCTTGTTTGCTTGCACACAGTTTTTGAATTTAAGGCATATGCAGGAAAAAGCCTAGTTAACTTCTGGATGGTGGCAAGTTCTAGCAAGTTTGCTGAGCTCCCGGCAGCCAGCCATGCCCTGCTCAGGTCTGCGCGGGGCAGTCTGCGGCGGAGGACCCACTTACTGGCTGTTGGCTCTAACTCTGTTTTATTCTTAGTGCAGAAGGATCTAAGTAAAACATTTTGAATTTTAGCAGAAACGCAGTAAACTTTAAAAACATACAGGGTTTGGGTTGGGGACTGGGAATATCAGGTATAGGAAGTGAAAAAGGTGACACCTGCCCCCCAGCACACGTTTCAAGGTGATCATTCTTTGCCTGTGATGATGATGATGATGAGGGTAGATGCAGGTGTGAACAAGGCTAGTTGCTGTGTAATTATGTACATGTTTGCTGGGGCAGCTTTCCCAAATTTTGTATATTAGAACAAAAGTTTCTATGAATTATCGTAACTAAAAGTAAATATTCTAAGTTAAGCCCCACTTCTGGGTCATGTGGCTTCTGTCATAGGAATTTTACCTTTAGAAGGTCACTGAAGACAGGAGCCACGTGGCTTAGGAAGGGGGCAAGGAAATGTGCTGTAGTGGCCTTCCGGCCTCAGCCATCAGTGGAGGGTTTTCCTTAACTTGATGGCCATAGGAAGACCTCACTTTCAAATCCTCCTGATACTTTCTGTAAAGATGCTTTTCCTTAAAGATTCTCTTCATGAGGGATGTGGCTGGGAGCTGGGAGGCAAGGTGCTGGAGTCCTAGCTCTCCGGTGAACTCAACTGTGTGACCTTGGGCAAGTCACTTACCCTCTCTGTGCTTCAGTTCCCTCCTGTAAATGGGAGTAATACCTACCTCACAGGGTTGTTGTGGGGATGAATTCGAGATCCTGTCTGTAACGCATTTAAGGTTCTTGAAGAAGGCGCTATATAAATACAAAGTCTTATCAATTAAAGTTGGCTTATTTGTGGAAAAAAAAATTTAGCAATGGCTTAAAAGGAATTCCAAAAATAGCCTGAAAAACTCAACCCTGAGTTCAAAGTCAGCTTGTTCTTTCATTTCATTCATGAAGTAAACATAGCTGAGATAGATTTTTTTTTTTGTTTTTCCTTAATTAGGTGAGCTAATTGCTTTGATTGATTTTTGGTTTCCACATGATTACAAATAACTCTGTAAATACTGATTTTTGTATACTTGACCTGACTGCAGGGCCAGATGTTGTTTCTTGGGGGACTGGGCCTAATCATAGACTCCAACATTTCATTCACATAAAATGCTTATTCATACTTGCATTTGGAGTAACCTCAGTGATATATTTTCTGTATATAAATCAAACAGTGAATACTATGTATGGCTGATTTAATGAATTGTAGTATAAAAAAAGACTTTCTGGACAAAGGAAATGATTAGAATTAATCCAGCAATGGATAATGTGAATGTACTGAAATTCCCTATGCCTTCACTTAGAATAGTGTATGTCCACATAGAATTACATCCACATATGTACACATGAAATTACATGCAATTTTAACTTTCTTGTTGAAACAGTTATCCCTGAATTACATAAATATAATTCCCTATATTTAAATCAATAATGTACTCCAAATTAGAAAGAATTTGTTGTATAACTGTTATTCCAAGTTAAAGCAACAATTTTTATCAGTTACTAAATTAGAATTTCAAGTTCTTTACTCATCAAAAAAAAATCCTAAAAATATAAGAATAACAAGAATGAATACAATATAAACTATATTAGGGCATCACTTTATAATTAGACATCATGACATTAATTAGCATTTTAAGTTATTGTTATGTATAGAAATATTTTATTTGACTCAACATTTGTCCCTCATATCCTGCCACAAAAGATTAAAACTCTGTTCAGCTAGACTTGGGTAGAGTTCTCTGTCTCTCCTCAAACCTTAAGCCATCTTTAAAATGTAAAAGTGAAGAGTTACTTGTTTCTGTGTACTGTATTTTTAGTAGATCTTTGGAATTACCAAATAGGAAAAATTAAATTATGGCTTTTAATTTAGGGTCTAATTAACCATTGTCATGGTGTGCATTCATTCTTACATTACTACATAGAATGAAAATTTGCTATATTTTAAAATTTATGGATAGTTTAAATAACTAAATAAAAAGAATTAAAAAGTAATCACATTAGGGAGCCTGAATATTCTTCTAAGAAGTCATAAGTTATTAAATGAAAATGTCAGTACCAGGAATAGGATATCATCCTATGAGTTGTTAGTAACACCTTAGAGGCCACTCAAAATAATGCATGCTACAGCTATTAGTGTTAACTGCACATCAGAGCCTGATATCAAAGCCCCATTGCTCATGACACCAACCTCACCCTTGTATTCAGAACACAGAAAATAACACCAGAACTGAGAAGGAAGTTTTACCCTGCTGGCCAACACTCATAGTGCCAGAAAATGCTGTGTGGTTTGCTGTGGGGGAGAAAAGGCATCAGCAGTTTTGCCCAGGTGTGAACTGGGCAAAATTCTGAGCTACAATGTCAACCTACCAAGCAACTTGTACAGACCTGTGCAATAGTGGCATGATGCTTTTGGAGACAACCAACCACTTTATGATTAGATATGAGGCCCATGTCACAGGTGGGAACCGTGCCTGGTCCTGCAAATGTGATCAAGAATCCATGGCTAGACTGGTAATAGACTGTATAGGGGAACCTACTGTTGTTGTTTTGCTAAATAGACATGGTGAATTGCCTCCTTAATGCCCACCAATCAATACTGTTAGGCAACAGTTATGGTGGGGACTCATAACTCATCAAAGTACCAAGATTGAGTGAAAGGGTAGTTTTCAGCCCTAAGGAGGACATCTATATTACTCCTTCTGATACTTACTCAGAGATCATGAAATGGGGTTTGAAAGAATGTAAGAACTAAAAGATAGGGATATATGCTACTAAAACAAAATAAGAAAATATTTTTCTGGACATGAAATGGCCATTTCACTCTTGAACTTACTGCAGCTGTGATTATCTAGACCAAACCAGCACAAGACTGTGCCTTTCAACATTTCATCATAGACAAATAAGTGTATCATGAAACCCCATCTTTCCCTGAAGGACGATGGGCAGCTAATAGTTTCAGTAGGAGGAGTGTCATTTTCTTTAAATTATCACCTCAACACAATATAGAATCACTGGGAAGGGAAAATTAATGAGGTATTATCTACATTAGGTTGACATGTGGGTATGTCTTTGAAGAACTATCTTGATAATGAATCGGGAAGACCCACCCATTGTGGGTGACATGATTCGATTCCCTAGGCAGTGTATACTTGATTGTTTAATAATGGAGAAA